TTCTATAATCAGGGCCGCCGAGAGCCAGATCGGGCCCCGTGACAATTTTCCAGGTCGGGCCCCGGGACAATTTTATACAAAAATTAGGCCCTTTCAATATAACCTTTCTAAAAAAAAGGTCTTCAAGCAAAAACTTCTCCTCTTTAGTGAAATCTCTAAAAAAAAAGAATCCTGCAAACAAGAAACCGTCCTCACCCAAAGCTGCCGAGCCCCCCTTCACAGAGGGGTAATGTTAGACAAAATTCACCAAAAACTCTAAAATCAAAATTTAGGTAACTGACAAAAAAAACCACGGTAAACCTACTGCAATAAATCCTTCTTCCCAAGTCACAATAGCATTGGATTGTCCGCGTGATAAAACAAAAGATAACGCTTGTCAAAAATAGCGTCTTAAATGCGTATATTGCTGTAATTTTTTGAGTGCAAATATTATTGATAAATTCGGTCTACTTTTTTTCCTATAATAATCGAATTAACTTTGATAATAATCATGCAAAATAATTGACGTGATAAGTAGAGTGTTATTTTATAAAAAAAATGTATTGCTGTATTTTACTGTTAGTCCAAGGAGGCATTTTCATGAGTTCTGCAAAAATTAACAAATTTATTTAAACCTAGGATTTCTTTTAAACAAAAAGTAGCAAATTCTGCCGTATTCAGTGTAGATTTTGGCACAGTTTCTTTTTGTGAACATTCTTATTTATAGTGATATAATGATTAGCTGCTACTTTTTGCTTATAATGCCGTAATTTAGACAGGCGCAAGAGGGTGATATTTTTCTAGAAACGGCAGTCGGGCAACTTTTTTATAATTTTTTTTTAATTCCTGCTTTTTATCTCCTGTGTGATCCTAATTATTACATTTATTCGTCTATAATATGCAGCTTATGAAAAACCCTAATTAAATCGGAATTTATTGGTATTCTTTAACCATTTGCTGAAGAATGAGGCAAACTTAATAAATTAAGAACAAAATTTGATAGAGACAAAAACAGTGGATCTACGAGAAAACAGTAGGTCTGGCAACGCTGATCGTTCCCTCGAATGGTTATCCTGTAAGTGTCGCGCGACACTTCTCAAGCTTGCGAAATGTACCAAGCGTAACATTTATGCATCTGTCGTCCTACTCGACCTTGGGGTCGCTTCAGTGGTCGCTTGTCTCTTGACGCGCCTACCCAAATGGTACCTTTTTACATTACCATCCTAAAATCCATAAATTTACATGGCTGCATATTCTGCGTACAACATAATGGAGAATTAATAACTAGTAGTAATTATTGACACATAAAAGCGATACTACAATAAAAACAAGCTGTCAAAATTAATTAACAATTTTGCCTACTTGATTTTTTCACGACACTTGCTTCTACAATCCTCTATAAAAAATTAAAATGAATCAAAATTTTGTAAATAATTAAAAAAAAGACCAAAATGTAATTACATCAGAGTTGGTCATGATTTTAATTTCCTTTATGGCTATATGTTTAGCTAAATTTTAAAAAAAGATTTCTCTACACAATCAACCTACTAGAGTAGAGACGATAAGTATCAAACAATTACTAGATTAACTTTTTGTAAATGCATATTGTTTAATTACCTATTTTGTGCTCTTTTAAAAACTGATTTTGAAAATTCTAATAATATACAAGGTGTTATTTTAAGGACACAGCAATTTATAAGTTTATTGTTAATGTGCTTGGGATTTTTCTTCTGGCTATTACGTTAGTCGTTTGGGCAGTGTAAGGGAAACATGTAAACCAATTTTCAAAAAAAATACTCTGGGTGGTTCGTTAGTTATAAACTTCGAACAGCAAAATCTATAAAATACACTATCTCTTTTATTAATGGCATGAGATTCATTAATTTATTATTAATTTACATCTTATTGTTTATATCATAGTTTTCACCTCATAAATTCTTGATGTCATTTATTCAAGTCTTAAGGTCTTAAAATCTTATTTAAAAAAAAATTGTTTATCTAAATAATAACACAGAAAGTTATTTAAATAATAAATTACGGATAATAAATCTTAATATATTTGTTTTATGCATAGTATTTATGCAAAAGTCTAAAAAAACATTATTATGCAAATAATAAAAAAACAATCTGAAATCATTTACTATTAAAAACAATCTGGCAACATTCTATGAACTTGGTTCAAGCTTGGAACTGGTTTTGTTAAATTTAAGCTTCACGTTTTAACATAACTTTTTTTACCTTAGATACTACCGATTCCCCTCAAATTTCTTAGTTTATTAAGCAATGATTCCCCTTAGTTCATAAAATAAAAACATTTTAATAAGTAAAAGGAAAATTAAAGGTGATTTAACTTCTTAATCGCGTACAGAATTTTAACTAGAAAACAATATTTTCCTGCTGCTTCAAAAGATAAAGAAACAGTAAATTTTAGTACAAAACCATTTAGTATTTTCCTCGGAAATTCTTATCTCTAGAAGGTGAATCTGACACTGCGGAATCCCAACGGAGAACATCTCGAGGGGGAATATTGCAGAAAGTTAAAATGAAGCCTTCTTTGATATCTATATATAAATTTAAGTAATCTGATTTTAAAGAAGGAAGTATAATGATTTCGTAATAATGCTATAAATTAATTTGAATGAGAGTCAAATTTTACGCTCTACTAGGTGTATCATCTTCGTAATTTAGTACGTATTGATGTTGGATTGAATTGGTTCAAATTTAAAACGTAACTAAGTTTAGAAAATGATTCAATTACCGTAGCACAGGGATAAATTTAAACAGAACAGAGTATTGAACCAATTTTTCTTGTTGATTTTTTTTTTGTATAAATTTATTTTTACTAGTCGACGTGTTCCTAAACCAAAATTGATTAGTAATTCGTTTTTCTGTACAATAACAGGTGTTATAGTCGCTTCAGCAGTAGTTATTAGAATAGTTTAGACATATGTAATTGTTTGTTTCCGGGCTGTTATGCCGTGTCTTTCTTGGCTATTATACTACCAAACGGTTCAGCTACAACTGCAGCAGCCATCTTTAGTGGATACATCGAGAAGAGTACTTCGTCCTCGCCACTAAAGATGGCTGCCGCAGTTGCAGCTGAAACGTTTGGTAGTAATAACCAAGAAAGACCATAGCATAACAGCCTGGAAACAAAGAATTACATTGATGCCGGCCGATCCAGCCTCTTTGTGTGACCCGATTCTTATGTCATTAGTGTCAATTTTATTTTGTCAAGTTGGTTGCACTTCTCTTGTATATAAGTCCTCTATTGCTAGGCATTCCAAACTAAATGGCTACCAGTGGGTTTTGACAGGTTATTATATGGCAAAATTATGGCAACCCTGTAGGCCTGGTGATTTGACAAGGTCAATGAAATAGATAGTTACATAAATTGATCATCCATATTTTCAAAAAAAACATAAGCTTATGCCTTGACGTAAAAATGTAAGCAATTATTATTTTTTAAATATCTAAAGGCCGAAAATTGGTTTTAAAACACATTTTTGCTAAACCGATTCAAATTAATAAATATTTGCCAGCTTTGAGCAATCTATATAACTATATATGTATCATTGACCCTGTTAATGCCAACAGGGTTGCCATATCTAAACTGTCAGTCCCCACTGGTAGCCATTTGGACAGGTCGTTGGAATGCCTAATATAACAGTAATGAAAAGTAGAGAGGCGTCATAGATGGCGACATGCGCAGAAACCAAATTTTGACTTGACTATCTATGTCGCTTAGCAACGATCGTGTCAGTGGCTCGATGCAATCTCTTTCCAAGCATTTCAAAATTAAAATACACAATTTTTATACATATTTTAGTAATATCTAAATCGCTAAATCACTAGAACAATACTAGGATCACTTAAAAAAAAGTCGATTAAATGTTATTCGGATCATTATGATGTAAAAAAATGTTCTTTTAGATCTAGTGTCATTCATTACAGTTATTATTTATTGCAGTTCGTTTATTCTATATAATGGCTCTTTCAACTTAGTGCCAATTTTGAAATTCATGAGGGAACCTATCAGAATTTGTATTCGTCTATATTAGCAGGTAAACAAATTTTTGTGTGATTACTCATTGTAATATAATGAATAGAATAGCGGCAGTCAAGAGCGGGGGGGTGCGGGGAAACGTTTGCGGTAGCAAAGTACCGCCGACACCTCCCCAGGCAGAACGAGTTGAGTCGCCTTGAGTGCCGAGTGGGTGGTCAGCTGTGGCTGTAGGCGGTTGATTCTCACGCATTGTGTTCTATCGATAAAATCATTTGGTAACTAAATAATTATTTGACTTAATAATTAATAAAATGTAATATCTACGTATCTGAACGTTTTAAACGTTACGGTACTTTTCTCTAGTTCGTTATTAACTTAATAAATAGAGAGTTTTAGCACTTCCCCGCTAACGTTAACGTTAGACTATCGAATAGCTATCTGCGCATGCCTCAGTGTAAAGTTACGGGTCGAAAATCTATCGGGACACGTTAGTGGGTATTTTAAAGTGATACTTTATACGAGATATAGACTTCCTATTGTATGATTTTTTTGACATTTCGGAGTTAAAATAAATAAAGAGAACTGACTTGATCAGACTTGTTTTTAAATGCGAAGTTTTGTGATTTGGATTTGTTTTAATCCACATTTTTTTGTTATTAGTATGAAAATCAACCTACACACCAACTACTATACTTTTTATTTCAATTATAATTAGATGTAATAGAACGACTTCAATAAATAAAATGTATTGGATTCAACAAAAAATTAATATACACCATAAACACAAAACATTCACTCTTAAAAATTCAAAATTTGGAAAATAAAAAGTAGTTAACGTTGACAGATGGCTATTCGTAAAAGCAATTGCTAAATCTAAATTTTGTACTTGCCGTTACACAACACGTAACGTCATTTAAAAAGTAGCGTTAACGTTAACGGAGATCTTATGTAAATTAGCTAAAACTCTAATAAATTAGCATGCACGTTTATCGATTTTTAACACTTAAACACTTACCTCTATTTCTTCGTTAAGACCTTTTAACTGTTGAATAAACTCCGTGGTCGTTCGCGCTCTTTCCGATAGTTGCTGCAAATTGTGGGACAAATCGGTCTGAAAGATAATGAACTCTGATTAGTAATTGTATAATAACACCTTTAGGCGGCATTATAATGTTTATGAATGGCGTATTTAAAAGTAATGAATATAATGGCAGACTTTGTTATGTTAATACATTGATTGTTCGATAAAATCGAACCATTACATTCTTATATATTCATTATTCTTCGGTTTTAAGGATGTGAAATAGGTTTTTTTATAGGAAGTTAAATATAGGTAAATATGAATACCAAAGAAAGGAAAGTATAAAAAAAGTTCTTTATAGTTACGTTTAATAATAATAATAATGAGGTTGAGAAAGTAGAGCTGCTTTACACTTTATAAAAAGAATCTATAAATTCCTTCCACTAGATAATATTAAAGCTATATAAAAGTCCTTAAAAAATATTCACACGAGTTTGCTTCTGTTTTCACCAACATTTATGTGTTTATTTACTTATTTTTATTTATTTAGCATACAATTTCCACAGGACTGATCCCATTTACAGGAAAATAGTTAACAAATAAAACACAGTGTCGGCTATCGAACGTTTTCCAATACATTTTGCGTATGTCCAAGTGAAAACTACAGAGCGTTATCATTAGGGCGAGCAGGAAATGAATAATATTAACGTAGCCAGCCGGGGGGATATTTCTCTCCACGTGCTCGATCACATTGCACAGCGCACAAGGCAACGTTGATATTATTCCTTTCAACCTAGCACTAATAATAATAATAATAATAATATTAATAATAATAATAATAATAATAATAATAATAATAATAATAATAATAATAATAATAATAATAATAATAATAATAATAATAATAATAATAATAATAATAATAATAATAATAATAATAATAATAATAATAATAATAATAATAATAATAATAATAATAATAATAATAATAATAATAATAATAATAATAATAATAATAATAATAATAATAATAATAATAATAATAATAATAATAATAATAATAATAATAATAATAATAATAATAATAATAATAATAATAATAATAATAATAATAATAATAATAATAATAATAATAATAATAATAATAATAATAATAATAATAATAATAATAATAATAATAATAATAATAATAATAATAATAATAATAATAATAATAATAATAATAATAATAATAATAATAATAATAATAATAATAATAATAATAATAATAATAATAATAATAATAATAATAATAATAATAATAATAATAATAATAATAATAATAATAATAATAATAATAATAATAATAATAATAATAATAATAATAATAATAATAATAATAATAATAATAATAATAATAATATTAATAATAATAATAATAATAATAATAATAATAATAATAATAATAATAATAATAATAATAATAATAATAATAATAATAATAATAATAATAATAATAATAATAATAATAATAATAATAATAATAATAATAATAATAATAATAATAATAATAATAATAATAATAATAATAATAATAACAAATGTCCATCCACATTTGGCCAGAATATTTAACTCTTGGCTGAATGGACAACAGTGTATTCCAAGTTGGTTTGTTCAAGGACGTACTGTGCTACTTCCCAAAAATGGAGATCTTTCGCAACCAGAGAACTATAGGCCAATAACATGCCTTAATACGTGCTACAAATTGTTTACACGTATACTGTACACAAGAATTCTTGAAGCAGTTGACCGAGTCTTCAATCAGATTAACGAGCAACGTGGATCCAAAAAAGGCGTAGCTGGCTGCCAGGAGAACTTACTGATAGATAGAACTATCACACAGGATGCCAGGTGGTACAAGCGAAACCTATCCATGGCCTGGATTGACTATCGTAAGGCGTTCGACACAACTTCGCACGAACTTATCGCACAGTTGTTGCGAACCCTCTCGGTGCCAGACCCTATAGTGAGATGCATTCAACAACTGATGCCACTCTGGAAAACCCGTTTTTCCATAACATCTGGAAATGCGAAGGTCGAAACAGGGATGGTATCATTCAGAAGAGGAGTATTCCAGGGAGACTCCCTGAGTCCCCTTCTATTCTGCATCTCTCTAATTCCGTTGTCTGTGGCACTACGAGAAACTCGGGGATACTTATGTGGCCCACCTGGAAATCGAAGACATAAAGTTACTCACCTTTTTTACATGGATGACTTAAAGATTTATGCATCCAACGAGAGGGAACTCAAACAATCCCTACAGGTGGTACAAGAGTACACCCATGCTATCGGCATGGAGTTCGGTTTAAACAAATGTGCACAGATCCAGCTCAATAGAGGCCGTTGCGAGGATTTTGGAGAGGAAGTGCAACTTGTGGATGGAAACGTTCTACGACATTTAAACGTCGGAGAGTCTTATACCTACTTGGGAGTGCAACAGCGCGAAATGCAGGAGGTTGCTCTGATTAAAAAGACTCTACGCGGCAAGTATCAGAACCTCATTCGGCATATCTGGTCATCAGAACTGTCCGGAAAAAACAAAGTGGGTGCTACAAATATGCTTGCCGTTCCAATCCTCCTCTACTCCTTTGGAGTAATAAAATGGACACAAGAAGAGCTGCGCCAACTCGACATCAAAACCCGCAAGATGATGCATCTCCACAGGAGTCTGCATCCAAATTCGTCAGTACAAAGAATATACCTCCCACGCGATCAGGGAGGCAGAGGGCTGTTGAGCATAGAACATCTTCACCATAGAAAGGTATTGGATCTAGCGTGCAAAATAACAACCAGTTCAGACCCCCTTCTATGCATGGTACGCGACCACGAAAGTACTGGAAAAGGAGCCTTTATATTCAAGTCAGCAAGAAGAGCAGCTGAAGGTCTTGACCTCGTCTTTGATACATCGCGAAGAAACCTAGAATCCATTACCGAGTTACCCCCTGTAACTTTGAAACACCACATCAAAGTTGCAGAACAGGTTATGCTAAAGCGACAACATATGGATAAGCCCATGCATAGCGTTTTCTTCAAAAACATCGAAGAGCTAAGCTTATCCCAGCGACTGACATTTGCCTTTCTAAGGTCAAGTGGCCTCAAATCAGAAACTGAGGGATTTATAATGGCCTGTCAAGATGGGGTTTACAACACTCTTGTATATCGGAGAAATGTACTAGGTTTCGACACGGCCGACGTTAGCTGCAGGGCCTGCCACAGATCACAAGAGACAATCATGCATTTACTATCCGCATGTCCTAAATACGCAGTCTCGGCCTACATCCAGCGACACAATGCTGCTCTGCGAGTGCTTTACTTTCATCTGAGACACTCTTATAGTATAGATGAGACACCGGTTATTCCTTATGTACCGGAGGAAATTGAGTCCGTCGTAGAAAACGAAAAATGCCGTATCTACTGGAACTATTCGTTTCCTACGCTCAGGCGTTTGCAAGCAAACAAGCCTGATATAATCCTTCTAGACCATCAAAAGAAGGCGATATATGTTATCGAGTTTTCGGCACCTAGCGAGAACAACATCGCCAGAAAGGAGGAGGAAAAGCGAACCAAATATCGAGATCTCATCTTCGAAATACGCAGGCTGTATCCAGATCACACAGTACGTTTGGTGGTTTTGATAATCGGTTGTCTAGGTGGCATTAAGAATGCACTGCTATCAGAGCTGAAGACCATACCAGCATGTAGCGACATGGCCGAAATATTAGCCGGTCGGATGCAGAAGGCAGTCATACTAGGATCGTTGCGACTACTAAGGGCACACGAATAGCGGAACTCGGCAGTGACTGACTCTGCGGTGTGGAGAGTCGCTGTCGTTTTAATTAATCGGCTCGACCCTCTAGTTGTCGGAGACGGAGGGTTCGACACCGATTGAAAAAATTCACATAAGAATGAATAATAATAATAATAATAATAATAATAATAATAATAATAATAATAATAATAATAATAATAATAATAATAATAATAATAATAATAATAATAATAATAATAATAATAATAATAATAATCAAATTAAATTATTAGAAATAAACAACAACACTATTAAGAGAATACAGAAAGCGGCTATTCTACAAACATGCCATATTGTACGCAAATTCCTTAATATCTAAGCATACAGCTATAATAAAAGAACACCAAAATAAACAAGTGAGATAGGGTGAATTCCCTTCTCACTACACACTGTTTCCGTCAGCTCAAAGCCGACGAAATGTCAAAAAAAAAACAATAAATAATAATAATAATAATAATAATAATAATAATAATAATAATAATAATAATAATAATAATAATAATAATAATAATAAAAATAATAATAATAATAATAATAATAATAATAATAATAATAATAATAATAATAATAATAATAATAATAATAATAATAATAATGATAATAATAAAACATTTATTTGACGGGGTGGGTGGCTCAGTGGTAGAGTCTCTGCCTGTGGATCCAAGGGCCCCGGGTTCGAATCCCACCGTTGGCCGGGATTTTTTCATTTGATTTAATTATTTAAAATTAATTCTGATGCCTTGGTAGGATTCCTCACTCGACCATTCACTGTTGGGTTCTAATTAACAGTGCTGTTCCTAAAGTGGCGCTGGGAAACAGTAACAAAGCCTACACAGAACATGGGGCGAAATAACCATGGTAGTTGAAGCCGATGACACACCAAAAGAAAAAAACATTTATTCAACCAATCAAATTAAAATAATTTTAGGTACAATTTGTTATTGACTAAAGGTACTCGATAAATGGTTACCCACTTATTTCGGAAAAATAACAAAAGAAAACAGAATTTACAATTATATATATAGCTATGTTATCCTAACTACTAAAAACATATAATAGTTATTGCTCGATTAAAGAGAAAAAATAATCCTTACATAAATAGAAGATAACAGAAATAAAAATGAAAGAAGGGATAAATATAATACGTAATACACAATAAAACTATTGTAAATTAAAGGTGAGTACCAGTGGCGTGCGGTGACATTTTTAGAAGGAGAAGCGATTGCATAAAAATACAGCAGGC